CAGTTTGCTTGTTTGATATCCACTGGTGTAGATATTGCTAGAGAGCACAAGCAGGCAATTCTTATCGTTCTGCTACTGTTTGTTTGAAGTAAAACTTTAATAAAAAAAATCTGTAGCTTATAAAATGACCAGTCACTTAATAAGAATGGTAACTATTCTTATTTTAAGATATTAGCTTTATGTTTCCACTCTTGTGTTTGGGGTTTTTTTTATATGCAGTGAAGGAATACTTATAGCTATTCAGGACTTGAAGTGTTTCTTTAAGCTTGTATAGTAAGACTTTCTGGCTTGAAGCTTTCCAAATCTGAGTAGTAACAAAGAGGTAGGTAACTTTTTTTTAAAATTATAGATAAAAGTTGTCATTGTAGTGTAGCCACTTGAGGAGTAATACTTTTTCCTTACTTTTCTTTCTGAAATCATGTGTTCTGAAAAAATAATGGGGTTTTGGTAAGATCAGGTGTCAAGTGGTTAGTGTTAACAGCACTCTGAAATTAATTCAATTTCTGCTGAATAGAATGAATTTCAAGATTATTTGCTTTCCAGATTATCTTTTTTGTGCAGTGCCTTTCAGCTACTGGTATCCACCAAGTAACGAAAGGGTAGTTACGTTGTCCCTGTGACATTCTCACTCTGAGGATAGAGTAGTTGGTGATTAGAGGAGTGTCATTGAAAGAAGCATTCCTGGAATCCCCTGTCTGGTTGAGTAGTCTTCCTATCCGGATCAGTAATCTTTAGTTACTTCAAGTTGTGGAGTACCTTAAGCTTGTGGGAGAAATTAAAGAAGACTTCAAGAAGTCTCATAAACATGTTTTTGTGTAATATATTCTTTCTTTTTTGTTTTATATTTAAATATTTGTATGTGGAAGAGTATTGGCTTATACTGGAAGCTACCTAATGTTTCCCATTATGGTGTTACCTCTTAATTGCTTGTAGCATAAACTAGTATGATCACATTTCTCAAAGCCTGTGTCTGCCTCTAATGGTGGGGGTTTTGGTTTGGGTTTTTTTTTAATGTGCTTTTGATTTTTGTTTGTTTCTTTTTAATTTCATAAAAAACAAGTAATACTAAAAACAAAGTTTACTGAAAAATTAGATGTATTTACAAATCATTTTTTGACATAATTAATGGCAGTAAACCAAGGATAGAAATAAATAAAACCCACTCATGTGAGTCAGTACTGTATGTAAGAAAGCTTTACTGTCTGCCAAGTTCAAGCAGTATGCACTATTGAGCGAAAAAATGGTTTCATAATCACATTAGATTTTTTCCAAATAACTATTGTCTGACTTTAGGTGTTGATATAAAAGGAATATGAAAGACGTCACTGCCAAAATATGTAAATTTGCGAACACACCAAAGGGAATTCCCAGAAGAGGAATTAATAAGGCAGCAGCTATGTTTGTAATTTAGGCAAGCTTTGGTTTATCTCTAAACCAAATTATGAAACTTTAACTCAAAACTGCTTTCAACTTTTTATACGAACAAGAAAGCTGAAAATCTTCAGATTTAGTGATGTCTGAATATCTTGTAAAAAAAAAAAAAATCCCTCATAAAAATAGTAGGCATTGTTACAAACACAGAGCAGATTCTAAGCTTAGTCTGAGTTTCCCAAACGCTTGTATTTAGAAAGTTATACTGAAAGACAGAAATTGAGGACAAGTGTTCAGGCTACGTGTGAGAAGTGAAGTTTAACAGCTTGCTATGGCTCATGTTCTGATGGGTGACTAAAGGGACTTCTAGCAGAACAGCTGAAATACAGCTCCGAGAAGAAGATTTGCTGAAAGAATGGATAAATAGCAACCAAAGACAGGACAGGGCTGTGTTGGGGTGGTTTGGAGCTGCAAACTGTAGAGGGGGATAGAGCTGGCGTTCTCTAAGGGTGTTTGGGGGTGAGGAGACGATTCTCCGGTTAAACAAGCAAACAAAAAAATCTGTCTGAATTTTGCAAATGAACAGCCCTGGAGAAATACCATTTGTACTGCCTTGTGGATCTTTTTGGGTGGGGTAAAAATTTTTTTTTTTTTTCTATGCACTAGATGGTAGTAAGTGCCAGTCAGTAGCACAGATAGTAAATATTAAAGCATCATGTACTGTTGCTGACAGCTGAACGGTCTTTTGGTTCAAACAGAAATTTCCAGCATGGTAGGGTTGTCCGTGCATTTCCTGTGTTACAAAGGTCGGGAGGTCTTACCTAAACCAAAATGTGTTGTTCTGAAGCCTGGATGTGGTGCCATGATATTGGCTCCTGTCTCGTTATCGTGCACCAGGATGTTTATACAATCAAATACCAAAACAATTTCATTGGCGCTTCTTGACGGGAAGAGGAGAACGGTGGAACTTCGTATGTTTTCTGAAATGGCTGTGTTGGGCTTATTTGGTGCTGATTTATAATTAAGTCTGACTTAAGGGACAGACTTAATTAAATCTGACAGAAAGAACTTGTGTTCTTTTCTGTTTGGTTGCATTTTTTATTTGTAAATTTAGACTGTAGTTATTTTAAAGATTTTTTTTTTTCCTTGTTTTAGCAGTCATTTGAAATGATGAAAGGTAGGAATTAAAATTAGGCTACACTCTGAAAAGTTGTTGTATGAAAGTATACTGCTTTTCATGTTTGTTTGTGCTGTTCTATGTGATATTTTGTTAGTTTACAAGTTACAGTTTCTCCAGGTGGCAGCCCTGGAAAAAAGAATGAAACCTAAAACTCAAGGTGTCTGTTTCTGGCTTTTGAATCAACACCAGCAATCTAAAAATCTGTAATTAGAAGTTTTCAGCAATCTGGGAGTTCTGTAAATCTTCATTTTATTTTAAGTATTTTACTGACTCTGCACGGACCAGAATTCATTTCAATTTATCTTTTACATAGTTGGGTTGGTCTTGCAAAGTTACAAGTTGAAAAGTAATGAAAATTAACACCGAATTACAATTCTTACAAATATTTTGTTTGGGTTTTTTTTTAGGAAAAAAAAGGAGAAAAAATTATTACTTTCTTATGCAACTGTACCTGCATTTTCAAACACATAGGCATTATTTCCTTCTTTATGACAGTAGAAATATTAATTTTAACAGATTAGAAGTTATTTATTAATACTGCAAGTGCTTTCTGGACTTCAGAAAAACCTATTCTTCTACCTTCCGGAAATATGAGTATGTACTTATTCATAATGCATGTTATATTTTTTATGTTCTGTGACAAGACTGAAGTGCTTCCTAACTGAGCATCAGTATGCGAAGGCAATTTCGAGTTCTTAGTCTCTTAATAGGTCACGTCACCTACGAGAGCCCAGCTACTGCAGGTCTTTAGATTATTGTTTGACTTGGAAGTTGAGATATTTGACTGGAGTCATTGACTTGATGAATTCAGATTTATAAATATCTGTGTGTGTACATATAGAAACTACAGCGTGTACTCTTTTCAGTCTACATGATTAACCAAGCAGATACAGGGCATGTGTTCCTTTCAAATAACTGACTGAAAAAGTATGTAAGAATAATAAACTGTTATAATATTAATAAATATTAAATAGTTATTGGCATCAGGATAGGATAGTTATTGGCATCAGTTGTCTAGAACTTAATTATTCAATGTATAAGGAACTGGAAATAGGTCTCTACCGTCAGGGTAAATGCCATAAGCAAAAGGTTTTCAATTCTCTCTTTTTGCTTGCCCAGGAATCATAGCAGCTTAGGGAAACTGTGGAGATTGATCCCAGAATATTCTGTAGCTCTAATACCAAGACTGTCTTGTGAGTTGGGATATGCGAGTTCGGTTTTTCAAGTAAGAAGATATTTTAACATACATCTCTAACATCTCGAAACATGGACCACTCTGCATGTGGCTGGCTTTTTAACCTTGTATGTACAGATTACAATTTTGGAGGGTCACTAATTCATTGGAATATATTTATTCTATTAGGAGTGAATTATTTTTTTTTTTAAACCTAAGCCACTGAGACATGGTAACATATTTGAGGTTGCTCCGAATGCTGTTAATCCTTTCCTGAATGCAAAATTTCTGAGAACATTCAAAAGCAGGAGCGTGAATTACTACCAATTATTACAGTCATGATAAATTGTTTTTAACTTATAAAAGAATGATTGGAGTTTTGTATATATCAGCATCACAGATCTCTAGGCTGATCATTCTTCTTACTGTCGTCATACTTGTGTCAGCAAGCTGTAGGAGATACCTAGAGCCTTAACTTTTTGTTTCAATTTTCAGTTCATATTTAGCAAGAGAAGGTATGTATTTCAAAGATTACTCCTCTTAAATGATGCTCATGTGCTCTTTGCTACTCAGCGTGAGTTTAAATGTGCAGTGAATTAATGCTACATAACTAGGGATCCTGATAAGACAGCAGCACCAATTTGTATTAATATTTAAATTGACTGATGTTATTTCTTCGATTTTAAGTAGTCAGACTTTGAGGAGTGAGAAACATAATACGACATTGGAAAGCTTCCTAAACAGCAAATCGATGGGAAATAACCTGAAGTTCTCTTGTCTTAAAATGAAGATGTTCTTTTCTTCACCTTTATGAAATCACCCTGAAAATTAATTTGCCAGGCACACTACCAAATTCTAGCAAACTTTTTGCAAATCTATAAATTTAGAAATTATGAATTGATAGTATAAAATACACTCAGTGTTGTATCTGCAGATCACTAACATATGTAAATGTGTTGACTTTTGGAAACTGTTTGCTTTTTGAGAGTGACTTTTGACTTAACCAGTAGAAATCCATGCCAAGATGTCTAGACATCTTGAAGAACTTAATATTTTGAAGATTTTTCATTACCTCCAGGGGCATATTTTAAAAAGAGAGATTATTCATTTACCTGTAGGGACTCCTGTGCTTTCTAGCTGTGCTGCAGCTACAGCTACACTTAGGACACAATATTTTTTGCATAGCGTATTGATTTCATTAGTTTTTCATCCTGTGTGTTATGCTCAATTGAATAAAGCAGTGAAGTTAATGGCACTGGATGTGAAGAGGATGTGGTGAGAGTGGAAAGCATTGTGGTAAGAAAGCACAATGTAGGGCAAACCTGAAGGGTACTTGCAGAGCTGCAGTGTGAAAGTCATCTTTCTGCGCTGAGAAACTGAATCTTTTGGTGGCTGGAGCTAGGAGTCGATGTCCTGTGCGGGAGCCCGAGTCATAAACCTTGAGTCTGTTTGTGTTAGTAGGCAGCTTTTTTCTGTGTGAACACAAGAAAATAATTTTTTTTAAAAAAAGGCAAGAAAAAAAAAAACAATGTCCATTTACTGACTTTTTATTTCCCCTCCACTCCCCAGCTAAGGAGCTAAAAGCACTTAATACCATGTTCCTAAAATCAGAAGTTAATTGTAAAAGAAAATCTTTGTTAGATAATACGGATTTATATCAACTGCTTACAGTGCTTCTGACATTGTTAGTAGTCAGAGGAGCAAATAATGCAACAAGTACGATATTTAGAAACTAACAGAAGTGAACTAGGTGAACTAGTAACTTTAAAAGTGTCTTTCCTTTATTTATTTATTTATTTATCACCAGACTGTAGCATAAAAAAAACCCTATTGTTGCTAATGCTGTCACGTTAATAGTATCGTAGACATTTTACTGTTTGTTTTGAATTGACTACATTTTATAAAAATAATGGTTTTCTTTTTGGCTTCACCTTTTCATATGTTTTCTTGCTAGTTTCACTTTACTGAAATAAAAGCCCAGTTTCTCTAATACTCTTACCATTATGTAGATCTCGTTAAACCCTCTGTTTTAATCTGGAAATGACTGTTAATACTTGACATTTTCCTCCTCTCAGCGTCAGATGGACAAGCTGATGGCTCGTGAAGAGAAGCGCGTAGCCCGCTCGGAGGAATTCCTGAAAGAACAACAAAACAAACGAGCAGAGGTGGACGAAGAGCACAGAAAAGCTATGGAGCGCCTCAAAGAGCAGTATTCCGAGATGGAGAAGGAACTGGCCAAATATATCTCTTTTTAAGGCCTTTCTTTTTTAATAATGCTGGATTTGTGCCAATACTCAGTTGCTTCTGACTTTAATTGAGATTCTTTTGGAAAGCTGAAACAAATAAGAAAAAAGGAGAATTTCCTCTACAGGTTTAGCATTGGAAGAAAAGGTTTGCATACCTTCAACTTAAGTGCCTATCTATGCTTGTTTTGTTCAGGGCAAGTGGAATGCCAGTATTTCTTCATTCATTGGAAGGTGGAACTGGAAATTACATTGTGTGACTACATCAGCTCAGGGAGTTGCAAACTGGAATTCTCTCCCATCTGCAGAGTGTATCATATCATTTGGGAAAACAGAGTCTAACGTTAACATTAACTGTCCCAGTGTGCAGCCACAGCCCTTTCCCAAAAAAGCAGGTGTAATAGGTTTCAGCCATAGTTAGCTGAGAATTCACTGGGAAAACTGTAACTCCCATTAATAGATTTCAGGAAAACCCAACTCGTTTTTGGAATACTTTACTTTGAAGCTTCAGCAGTTCAAGATCTCAACAGAGTTTTAAATCCAGTTGTAATTCCAGCTTTTGGGTTGTACGTTCAGTATTATGAAGAAGAGTTGAGATTTGAATGGTTTTTGCTAACATAAAAATGGCTAAGTGAGCTTGGACAGCAATTTCTTTTCTCTCCCTGTAGACCCTTTTCCCTTTTTTTCTCCCTTTTCTCTCAGACCTCTCTTTTTAAGCTTTACTGTTCTAAGGAAAGCCAAAACAAGCTCAAAAGTATGAGAAGCACATCAGTCTTTGTATTAGCTTTGTAGCTAGTACAGTATTTACCTTAAATATTTGACATACTGTTGGTTTACTTAGGATAAGCTTGTCAGAGCGTTATAAAGCAATTGAGGAAAGATTTCTGTTTCTTTATCAGCGTAACAAATGAGCAGATTAGTGGCAAAAAGCCTGTCGTACTGATCTGCTTTCTTGCTAGCTGTTCCTCTTACGGAGCGTGCGAAGCTCCTGTATTGCTTTATTTTATTTAAAATTTGTAGTTAACAGCAGTGTAACTGAAGAAGTTAGCTTAATCAGTTCATTAACCGAGCAAAATGAGACATAGTACCTTAATGAAATTTGCTGCAAGCTAACCGTTAGTACAGGAAATATCTTTCCATAATTTAGCTGGTGTCCGATGTAGAATGGAAACAGGTAAAAAATAAACAGAATTTACCCTTTACTTGTGTTGCAACAGTAATATGCCAACAGTGGTTACTTGTGTAAGTTTATGGCTTGGTGTCAAGGCTCCGTTCCTGGCAGCATGTTGATAGTGTGATTAAAGTTAGTAGAGGAGATGGAATAAGTATTTGAGATTTCTTTCAATAACACTGAATTCCTGCCAAGTTGCTCTGCCCGCTACTGTAGGCCCAGCAGCTTCATCAATCATCGTCGTGTATCTGGACCGAAAAGAGGACTTGCCAACACTGGGGCATGCTGGAATGTTGTTAATTCTCTGTTGCGGATGGAAAAAAAGTAGATGTCTCCAAAGCATCCCACACATGAAAAATAGGAAAGCCTCTTTCAGAGCAGCCCCTATTTGAATAGAAGGTGACCTCTGTAATATTTTTCAGCTTCTGTACCCATGATGAATGTGGTAAATAAGCTCCGACTTCCATTTGAAAAGAAAAAGTTAGTTCTTGCTTGTCTTTAGAATTGGGTGTGGAATAGTTGTGATTGTTTTGAGCACGGACTGAAAATGGCCTCTCTCTTACCAGATTGTTTGATGTGTATGTGCTCAAAGCCCAAATATCTTTATAGCAAAAGGCGTTTAACTGCGTACCGAATTCGTTTTTATTTTTGCACTGATAATTTTTATTAAGATTTAGATATCTAATTAACCGTACACTGGAGCTGTAGATTTTGGTATTTCATCAATTTGAGGGCTGTTAAGCAATGATGCAAGTGTTGCAAGCTGAATGCTCACTGGAAAATAAAGTGGTGTTTCCGAAATCTTTTGGGATGCGTGCTCCTGATTCTCTGAAAAGCTTCTAAATACTAACAAACACTGAAAATCTTTTCATCTTTTAGAATGATACAGGTATTTTTATGCTGAAGATCATTTGAAGACACTTGTCTTCGTAGTCTATACCTGCCTTTTGGCCCACTCTTAGTCATTGTGGGGACTACCTGAAAACTATCCATTGCTGAATTATTCAGTAATTTTTACTTTTTTTTCCTATATAATACACTGAAGGTTTTAAGGTACTTGGAAATGCTTAATTGTCTTTGAAGCAACTTGGCAACATTTACAGGAAAACCTTTTTTTTTTTTTTTTGTCCAAATGCTTAAAAAAACCCTGACAAACCTGGTGTGTCTAATATTAATCTCAAAACAGAACATATCTGATAGATAAAAAAAGATTCTTATCTTCCTGGAGAAGAGAAGGCTCCAGGGTGATCTTATTGCAGCCTTCCAGTACTTAAAGGGGGCTACAGGAAAGCTGGAGAGGGACTTTTTACAAGGGCGTGTAGTGATAGGACAAGGGGCAATGGCTTTAAACTGAAAGAGGAGAGATTTCGATTAGATATAACGAAGAAATTTTTCACTCAGAGGGTGCTGAGGCACTGGAACAGGTTACCCAGAGAAGTTGTGGATGCCCCATCCCTGGAAGTGTTCAAGGCCAGGTTGGATGAGGGTTTGAGGAACCCCGATCTAGTGGAAGATGTCCCTGCCCATGGCAGGGGGGCTGGAACTAGATGATCTTTGAGATCCCTTCCAACCCAAACCATTCTATGATTTTATGATTCAGTTTTTTAGCAAGGTGGGGCTATGGTCTGTCTGGACACAATAGTACTCCACAGTGGGACTTACTGTAAGGTTCAAAATCTAGTTATTCAATAGTCTCTACCATTTGGGAGAAATAGGAAAACAAATAGCTTAAAAGTTGATTTATGTTGTTGGTGCATGAAGGAAGCGTTTTACCTTATACATGTAATATTTACATGACTGGATTTCATAGTTTTAAAAATCTTGATGTTTTATTTAATCTGTTAAACTCAATAGAAGTTTGCGTTGGATTCCAATAGGAGCTGGAAAGGATCCTCAGTACTTGAGTTAATGGCAGGTGAGTTTTGCAATCTTTGTGCCAGACTCTGTGTGTCATTTTTGCTTAACTATTAGTGCTGTTTATCATACTGAACTGTAGGTTTAACCGTTCTTTTTTTGTGAGTGGAAGTGGGTTTGGATGTCACGTAGTCAGTGGAATATTTTCTTAGTCTTTCTATTCTAATGAATACGTAGCAAGAAAGTGGTGTCTTCCTTGGAACTGCTATATGAAATCTGCTGCTGCTCTGTTTAGGGGTAATAACAAACTGAGGAACTGAAGAAATACTTAAGGGTTTGTTTTAACTGCCTTAACAATGAACCTACATGCTGTTCTCCTTGAAATGTTTTATATCTAAGGCCTATCACATTTTTTTTCATCTTGGTAAGGAGGGAGAAAGTGGGTTTATACACTCTTTGCTTCTTTCTATGCTGACACTAGGTAATGCTTTTCATAGAGATATTCTGTAATTACAGCTGGAACATTGCATCTTCTCTGATATTTTTATTTCTAGCTTGTTAAATCTTTCCTCAAAAACCGTGGAGTTTTTCTAAGTGGTCAAATCAAATAGCAAATACGTGGCGTGATCGGCCAATGAATTGAGTCACCTACAGTTCACTCCTCAGTGGAGAAGCTGCCTTTCTGAAGGCTGTGGATTTTGAGATTTACAGATGTTCCCCAGTAGGAGTCAGTGCAAGCCTGGGGAGGAAGGTTAGAAAGGCTGGCTGTGCCTGGGTGAGGTACAGAGGGGAAATACTTGTGTTCAGTATTTTGTAATATGGGATTTTGTATAAGCACAAGACATTTCGTGGATGAAACCGCATGCTTTTAAGTAAAAAAAGACACTAATTATCAGCACTGTTCTGCCCCATTAGTCCTCTAAAAAGCTTAAAACAGGTCACTCATGAAACTATTTACATAAGGCGTGCTGATCTGAACAATGTTGTCTGCGATACTTAGAGTTTCTAATTAAGATTTGTTATAACTTGAGGTTAGACTCAGTGTCACAGAGGAAGACCTTCAAGACCTGCATTCTTCTACTGCTGTCCAGTTTAGTGGATCAGGTTTTCAGAAGGTTTGAGGCAAAATTTATGCTTATTCATAGAGATCATGCCATAATAAAAAAACAGGGACTTCTGCAAAAAATTTTGTAAACAAAATTATCATACCACACACTTTTAAATAGGCCAATTATTTTAATTGTTTATAAACAAATCAACTTCTCAAAGTAGTGAAGATAAGTACGCTCAGTGCTGTTGGTCTAGTTTATGGTCTGTGTGCCAAGATACAGCAGAATCTGCAGGAAGATGGGAGTGCAGCTGCTGTAGCAGGATTTTAATGAGTAACACAAGTTTCATAAATAGTTCAGTCATAAGATTATTCAGAAATTCCAAATAACATAGACATTTGAAAGAGAAGGGAGAAGTAAAAAAAGGCTTAAATCTATTTTGGTGCAATTAATAAAGGGAGTTTTATAAAAGATTTATTTCAACCCTTAGAAATACAGTACTCTATACATGTACCTTGCAGTTCTGAAGAGTGTGCAGTATTCTGTGCAGTACCTTTGCAGTTTTATAGGTGGAAGTTTTATATATAGTAATGAGCAAAGCAGAAACAAACTTATTGAAGACAATGGTGAGCATTAGAACGAAGGCAGGCTTGCAGAAGTCTTTCCAGGGCTTAAAGCTGGAGCTTTGAAAATCTGCAGCACGGATTTATGCTTCCTAACTAGGAATCTAGCAGAGATACTCACTTAGGTTTCAGATTGCCTTCTTAAATGATTTATCTGGGCCAAATCAGGACCTGGATGGTTCAGATTTTTATTTAACATTGTTTTGTAGATGTTGAAGAAAAAGCTGACCCTTTTAAGATGAACTTTCAAGACGGTTGCACTGAAGGATGGATAATACTGTATTTTAAAACTGTAATTTAAAATAAAACCTTACA